AATCAAACAACCTTTCAATTTTCGATTTCAATTTATCAGGATATTGGCCTTCCTCGCCTAGGCGGTAAGTGGCGAAAAGATTTTTACATTGATATTTTACTACTATTTTGGCTAGATGGTTAACGAAACCTTTTTTTTTTAATAGGTGTTGAGGCAACATCACAGATTAGACGTTTTGACCCAACAACGCCTATAATCAGCATGACATCGAGTACGTCTGCACAAGATTGTGTAACGTATTACTCTAACGGAATGAACGACATACTGGCCAAGCCATTTACCAGGACACGATTGTTTGACGTCTTGGATAAATATTGTATGCACCTTAAAGTCATGCCAAATTTCCAAGACGTCCACAGAATATTTGAGCAACCTCCGCCGCGGATAGACGGTGGCAGCAACTTGAACGAAAATTGGCCAGTAACAGTCTTTTCTATACCGAATGAAGGCGAGGAATATAATCAAGCGGTCTCGTATCCCATGGGTGAGGAATATATGCCGATGTTTAATATCGTGAGCTTGTCAAACGCACCAACAACGGGCACGGTTAGATACATCGATGATGTATATGGTGATGATGAAGCATCAAATAATCGCCAACGGAAACGGCCGAAATTTGAATTATTAGAATGATGCTGGTGTTAATTTGAAAGCAAGCAATCCACCTTTAATGGGTTCTGATGGACCAAATAATATCAAAAAATTTTTGTGTAAATATTTATCTTACAAATTTTAATATATCTGCGCTCTACGTATTATTATTCGTTATTAGATCTTAGTTGTATATAGCAGGAATCTGCCAACCAACCTTTGTTGGAAGTTATTTTCAGAGGATCACATGCCTCTATCTCTCTCCTCATCCTTTATAGTGATAGAATAAAAAGTTATTAATATTGCGAAGCAAACATTATTAAATTTCGCTCTGCGTTTAAAGAACGCTATGCCTTATTAAGAATCTCAAACATTCTATCAAAAAGTCTATAAATATAATAATAAATAGTAATTTATGGTCTGGTTTCCCCAATACAAGTCCAGAATGCAAACCATTAATGATTCGATTCAAATGTAAACATTTCTGATCGGGATGGCACGATGTGGTGGTTAAAACTTCTCTTTCTAGAGCTGAAGGCTTTCGTTAACCTGTCCATTAAACGTCAAAACATAATTTGGTAATGTCGATGGAACCAATGAAACGTATCACTTATTATTGATCAATGTGCTACTTATCGGGTGGGATCATGCACGAAATAAATTGGATTTCTTAAAATATAACTTTATTAAGTAATAATGATGACTTTTTTTTTTCTCTACCAAGCATGGCAGCACAATGTTAACCCTTTGCCCCATCTGAAAACCTGAATCGAAAAATGAAATTAATAAAATCGTGTGCGTTGATTGTAGACATCTTAAAGGTATGCGTAATTCCTCATCAATGATTCCTTGTCCGCGCGTTGATTTCCATTACTCGACAACATGTGTCTTTTTGCTCGTGTTTCTCATCTAATTAAAACAATTTGGTATCGTCTCGCCACCCTTCGCATTGCATTCCCCCATGATTTCAATTATGCCGATTGGAAATTACAAGCGTTATTTGCAGCCGTATTAGTATGCCAAGTCTTGATAATATGCGCATTTAACGATACAGGGTTTGAAAATTTTACGGTTCAGTTGGTACAATTTCTGGAGACTGTGTGTTTGCTTAATAAGCTTTGTTAGTATGTGAGGGCCAAAAAAATTGAGCGATTCTATCTGCTCGTATTATATGTTTATGACACCCGCGTCTGCAATGCCAAGCCGACATTATGAACGTTACAAAGTTGACAAACTATAGGGAAAAAAAGACGCGGAATTAGACGTTTCTTTAAAGCATACTTGGGTTTCCCGACCCCTGCCAAGCAGAGTAATCGCATTATAGTAAAAACGTTTGTTGTTTCAGAGAGATTA